TGCAAATTACAGTTGGTCCAGAACAGAGCAGCACGGCTGGCCCTTAAATGTACACGAAGGGCTAATATCAAGAACATACATGTCAATCTCTCCTGGCTCAAAGTAGAGGAGAGACTGACTGCATCACTACTTGTGTTGAAAGCACTGAACTATCTGTTCAAACAGCTAACACACAGCTCAGACACCCATACATACCCGACAAGACAAGCCACCAGGGCTCTCTTCACAGTCCCTAAGTCCAGAACAGAGGCTAGGAAACACACAGTACTATATAGAGCCATGATGACTACATGGAACTCTCTTCCACCTCAGGTAACTCAAGCTAGCAGTAAAATCTTATTTAAAAAACAAATAAAACAACACCTCACGGAACATCACGGACTGTGAAGAGACACACACACACACACACTGTAATATTGTACATTTTACATTTATATTAAATTTGTATTACGCACAATGTGTTGTATGATGTATTGTTTTATTATGATGTATTACTTTATTCCTGTTTGGACCCCAGGAAGAGTAGCATAATGCCTCAATGAAAAACAATGAAATTCGACAAGGTTTGTTTTTATTACCCTTAAATTACCAAAATCTCATTGGTTATTTAAGTAGAAACTACTTGTGAATATCGAATCTACTGATATTCTGACATGCATGATTTGATTATCCATTACCTGTCTCTTTCATAAGAGTGATCGGATAGTTGGTGCCATACTATTTCACTCTGCAATCAGTTTCTCTCTAGCTGCTGTTGTGATTGGTCCTCTGACTGAAGACTGAATACCTCCTTGATTCCACCAGCTGTTTTACCCTGATTACAATATTCTTATGATTTTGGCCAACAGCGAGATATCAGATGTTTCAAATCCCACTATGCTAATTTACGATAAGTACTTTTAGGCTCCTTCAAATTTCAGTGGTTCTCAACTTCTCACAGTTTCAGTCTTAGAGGACAGCAGCTTATACTGGGGCACAGTGAGGGGTATCATTGCAGTGTTGCCATTAGGCGCCTGTCCTATTTAAGTGTCTTCCTCAGCATGATGTCTCTACCCTGCTGGGAGTATCTCCACCTCATCCCCAGGATAATGTGAAGAGGAACAGTCTTCCATAATGCCATTGGTGGCACCGTCATTAAAGTGTTGTTGGCATAATCATTAACCTCATCTGCAAAATATACATCAGTTCATACATTACTCATTTTCCAGAATGCTAAATCTAAGCTTATTATGAATAATTTGGTCATTTTTGTTAAATTAATGTTACACTCACTGTAAGTCTAGCATACACAGTAGTATGCCTACTTCAGAAACAGCATGGTTATGATGTTTTCCATTTGAAGATTATTGCTCTGACTGTGTTTTAATGTGTGATTCATTGTGGCCACTGGCAAGCACAGGAAGGGATGTGATTGTTGAAGTTGCTCATAGAATTGGGTAGGTACTACTCATCAGGTACAATTGTTTGTCACTATGGTACTGGGCTGGCAGTGGTAGTGTAAAACAAAATGTTGGTTTGAAATATTGAGGATGGGACACACCTAAAATAGCTCTGCTGTGTCTCAGAGCAAAATTCATTGGCTGTAAGAGCCACCATTCTCTAGAAAGGCAGAGAGACGAATAATAAACTGGGTTTTCTCCCTGCCTGGTCCACAACTGCTTTATTAAAGTGGATAAGTTCACAAAGCTGCTATGGCTCTATGGGAGATTGGGTCAGACTACTATAGACCCAGGATCTACGGGTTAGCAGCTCTGGTCAGGAGAGAATGGGTCCCTGACCCTCCCTAGCTTTCCTCCTGTCCTGCCTACTGTCCTTACCACTTGTACCTTCCACTTATGAGGACTTGGGCTTGTGTTAAGTGCTGGAGCCCATCTCAATCTATGGTTATGAACCCCCCCCAATTCCTTTTAGCAATATAAGAAGAGTGATTTTCCACAGAAGATTTTAGCAGCTGCTTTTCAGTGACATAACGTGGTCTGTGAATCATTTAAAAACACAGATTCTTCACACTACTCTCCCAAACTAACACAGAACCTGGTTTACAGATTTATTAAATAGCCTACAACTGTGGATCGCAGAGCTGCCCCTTCAAAATAAACAGCAAATCATTCAAATATCATCTTCACTCATTTTACAGTACCATCTATAATGATATTAGAAAGGCTATCAGATTAAAGAAACAGCGCCCACTGCTGGCAGATGTAAATTACTCAAACCAAAACATTTGAAGGTCATGATAACATCGAATTACACTACAATGAGCAAATGAAAAAAGTGTAAATACACTTCATAAATGATGAAAATATATTTTTTATTTAGAAAACACCTAATCCATCTATTACATAATGTCATGTGTCCAGTAGCCCCTCAAAACATATTTAAAATGCCCTTAGCCTTCACTTTCCTCTGCGGTTCTGACTGTGTGACCACTGAGGGGTGAGAGCGAAACCCTCCTCTTTCCACGGAAGGAGACTCCTACAGCCCAGCTTACCCTCCCTGTCAGATAGTTCACTGTGGCTGCAGGTACAGACTAAGGCAAGTCCCTCAACAGCAGTGAACCCGATTAAGACTAATCAAGATCTACACACCATTCCTAATGCATGCGTTATCTAAGCAACCCAAATGCATGCATCACATCACAGAGTATTCACATTCGGCTGCACACAAAATCAGAGTCCACACATACGAGTGCACACACCATCCCATTTTGGGATTATCGTTTTGCATTACATATTCTTCACCGTGAAATGATGCACCTGTCCTGTCCCCACCTGACCTCAAATTTGAACCATCAACATCAAACTGTTAAAAAATGTTTTAGTACATTCTGGCAAAAGCCTCAGATGTCCCATGAAACTTCAGGTTTGCTCTGAATTCATCAAAACTGCATGGTTATATTCAGTCCCCCTGCCCCATGCCAGCAAGATGCTGGGGTCTGGGGAAGCTCCGCTATGGACTGAAATGGGATACTGCAGCACTTGACAGCCGTGTGCACAGAGAGTAACTTGCCTGGAAGCATCAGAGAGTCCCACTCCAGCCTTCCCCCACCCTCTCTCTCCTTCCCTGTCAAGTCTCAATTATGTTAAAATTAAAAAAGAAAAAATTCTCAAAATTAATTACCAATGATTTCACTCCCATATGGAACACTTCATATCATAACCCAATGTGAGAAACATACGCTCAATTATATCAATTAGATATTGAAGAAAAAAATAGATAACTTCAATAGCATCCCAACAGCCCAACAGTAGATGTGAAAAGCAGCTTACCTTGTGTGCTGGGTCTCTTCCTCCTCAGCAAACCTTCTCTAGCGGCTTCAGGGCACTTTGAGATAGACAGAAAAAAAAGAGAATGAAAAAAAGAGAATGAATATTCCTTCAAGAATTACTTTCTCTTATTTCCAGTGTTAGAATGAATAAGCCTGGACAGCTACAGTATAGTCCTAGAACACACCTTTCCTCAGTCCTTCTGTGCACTCTTGCCTCACATCCACACACAATCACCCTAAGACTGGAGTACTACAGTAAATTGATAAAAATCAGCTCTTGGGAGGGATAAAAACTACACACTCACTGCAGTTTTTTTCTTGCCCACTCGTTCTGCTGTTTTGTTACTGCTCTATCTGCCTGCACCACCACCTCATTGGCTAAGCTGCTCTTCAATAACATAAGCTCTCTGTTCTAATTGGGAGGGGGCAGTTTCATGGTTCATCAGGACCCCTCCTGCCAAGCGCTTCTCTTTTTTTTCTTCTCTGAAGCGCCCGTGGAGCGCCCGTGGAGAAGAGTGCTGAGCTCTGCAAATTCTACGCAGAGCGTAGAAAAGAAGGGGAAGGGAGGAAGGAAGGAGGGAGGGCATGAGAAAAAAAAAACAGAGAGTGAGTGATAGGAGGGAGGGAGAACTAAGGAAGCAATCAATGCCATAGGACAAACACAGACACACCGAGCTAGGATGCAGCATTTTTCCAGGGTTAGGAGGATTTTTGAGACATAAGCAAGGACCTCCTCTGCATTTCTGCAGTCTGTGATGGACCTCTGCAGTACAGTGGGGTGTTAGATAAAAAATGATATTTGCCGGGGCTTGCTGCAGAGCGGAGCGGCAAGGTGGCTCTGCTGCAGTGTGCAGTCTAATTGCTGGGCAAAAGGGGGATGGGAGGAGGGGGTCGGATGCAGTGATGCCGAAGCACACAGTCTTCCAGCCAGGAATACAGAGGGAGGCAGCCGCAGTGTACGCAGCGGCTAATGCATTTTCCTCATGAATTATTGAAGGTGCCCGAAAGGAGGAGGTATAGGGAGTGGGTGGGGGTGGCAAAGACCTCAGTCAGAGACTGTACACTGTCTAGCTAACTACTGTACGCTAACTACTGTAAGCTTGTGTTATCACAACCAAATTTAGATTTATTATAATTGTTAATAACTAAATATGCTCTTCCTTTCAAGTAATGTTACTACAGGCAATCCATCAAAAGGATAGCAGGTTTTGTGTAGATTGAACTCAAGTTTCATGATGTACAGGAGGGCTTTCCCATATTACACATAAAATGGATCTGTGGGTTTGATTTTGTGGTGTCAGATTCCCCGCCCCCTTCCCCCACTCTCCATTACATCTGGTGTCTGTTTTGTCTTTCAGCTGCTTTTAGAGTGCAATATACTCAAGATCAATATTACGTCATACAATACCATGGCCATATCTTCAGCAGCTGCACCCTGCAGAGTCTTTTGTGTCGGTCATAGCATTAGAATCACATTCAAGGTAGCTTTCAGTCAACAGCATCAAGCTTGTGACTCATGAGCAAAGCCTGAATCACAGCACAGTGAATGGAGCGTAGTCAGTAAACAAAGAGATAGGACTACATTTATTTGTGAAGATCATATGTCCTCCCGTATTGTATGACGGTGATATAGCTACATTTAGTCATAAGGTGAATATGATCCAATAATGACATAACACCATTTACACTAAGCAGTCAACTTCTGTATATTACAAAAGAACCACAGGTCTAGTGAAAGGTGTAAAACAGATTTCATTTTATTATCTTGTGAAATTAAAATCACCATTTACTTTTTATTATTCATGCTCATGTAAAAAACTTGTGCATTACAGGGTATTTAAAATCAGCATATGACAAACAGCAGCACAGAACACGTCACTCAAGTGATGTGGAGAAAATAATTAGTGCCCCCTTCTGGTGGAGAGCATTCCTATGAATATGATTTCGCTACTGTATAGGACAGTAATTGAAGTGCAAAATATGAACATGTAATTTCATAGAACAATTAAACACAGGGGTAAAGTAGAGATGAGGAGGGGGTATTATTTTAAGGAAAAGTGTCCTTTATTCCCTTTCAAAAGTACAACCTTCGGCAGACTTTATACAGGTGCATACCAGTATGCTGATATATGGTCTGTGAGTTTAACTTCATTTTGTCTTACAGAAAACATCAATGGAAACTTGGTTTCCCCGTGGACTTGGTTTCCCCGTTGTTTTTACAGGGAGGGTGTACACAGTGATATGGATACCTGTGGGCTGGAATATCTTCTCAAGCATCTTTGCCACTTTGTCCCAGCTCAGTCGATCAAGGCCACAGCCAATGCTGTAGAATAGAAGGATATAAAATTTAGTCACACATCAAATGGAAATAAATGACATGTTAAAATAATTTAATAATGATGCCTTTTTATGTGTAGAATGCTCAATGTATTCATACAAACCGAGGCATTGATATAGCGGTTACTCCGTTTTTCAAGCAATGAAACTTCATGTCCTCAAGGCTCTGCCTCAGGCTGTCATAGGTTGGCTTGTTGCTGTACTTTTCCTTTGTTATCTGTAATAGAGCGAGACACAACCAGAGATTTAAAAATAATAATAATGCTTTCAAATTTGTGTTAGTTGGTTGAAACTAACAAGGCAACTGCCTTACCAGGTAGTACACAAAACGTTTGTGTCCTTTCAGTACAGCGCATTGCCCTGGCACCTTCTCTGTGAAGTAAAAGTAAAACCAGTGAACAGTGATCTTGATCAATGACATGGGCTTATGATTTAAGCCATGCTTTTCCAAATTCAGGGCCTATTTTAAAGTGAAAAGGGCACATCACAACATACTTCCATAGCATGCAGTGCATAATAACAAATAATACATTAATAATACATTACACAGAACAACTCACTCTGTTCCTTTAGCGCAGCCACTCCACCAAACTTCTTCTTGAACATAACTGCGATTCCAGCCCCCATGTGGCAGTCCTTGCTGATACAGTGCGCCAGGGCCTCATCTTCAGGACAGGAGAACAGGTCCCCCTTCATATGATGCAGGCTCCAAACGCCTTCTGCAGGCTGGCCAGGAGAGAGCAGCATTACACCACAGAACCAGCCACCACTATCAAAAACCTTAGACACATTATTTATGCCAAAGAGTTTTCCCATCCTCTTTAACTCCAGGTAAGTAGCTAGCTTGCTAAGTAGGACTGTTGACAGTAAGTGAGTAACAACATCTTATGGCCATTGATTACATGCCATTCACCGGTATGACATCATTACCTACTAGCTAACTAAGGCGTTTTCATGCTGGCCACTTACCTTAGATTTGCCAATAGATCGTACTGGCTCCACAGACCCAGTTGACATTACTTTGACAGGTGAGCTGTAGTCAACCAGATGGGAGGGATAGGCAATCTGTTTTGTTAATCTGCGAGGGAAAGCAATGCTACTGCGAGCAAATGAAAGTGCATTGATTATTTGAAGCTGCATTAGCTAGTTATAGCAATACAGTCACAGCTGGCTATGCAGTGCCTCCCTGACCAAACGTTACCATCTACAGCGCAGGCACATTTGTCTGAGCATCGCACGCGGCACCTAGCTAGCTAGTGTCGAAGTCGTTAAGTTTCTCCTTCAATTTCACCAATGTGGGCATTTTCAGGGTTATGACTAGACGGGATACAGTTTTTGTCAGATTTCACTTTTTGTAGGTTAGAACTTACGCAGCATGTTAGGAGCATAAACGTAGCAGGTTGGGATGATTAGGTTAAGGTTGTTAAAAGGGCTAGATAAAATGGGAAAAAAATAAGGAACTTTTGACGTTAATTCGACAACAGCTGTATCCCTTCTCGCCATGACCCACTACCAGGAAGCCACAAGGTGTAAATAAGCCTATCAGAAGGCAAGGTGATGCTGACGCGGCTTCTTCTATGGTATTATCGTGGTCCGCAAACATAAACGTTAGAGGTGCATGCTGCCGCCTGCTGTGTCCGCCTACTGTTCTGGATTGTGAATTAATTACACTGTGATACAAAAAGGGGAGGGAAATAAAAACGGGGGGAAAGGAAGAAATTGCCCTACCAACTAACCAAACACCTATTAAAACCTCACCACTATTCCACTACTTTGGCCCTATCTGATCCTACACCAGGCCGTCAGCCTGAGAGGACAGGGCACTATTGTTCAACACACCTTGCTGTAACTCTTTTGCAGTCAAATTGTGTGCAGCCAAGTACTTCTCTGCAGCTGCCACCACAACATTTATTTTCTGTGATTTATGTTCAATTTTTGCGGTACAGTTGATAACCATGGCTATGAATGCTAAGAAGCCAACTGTACTGAAGCACATTATTCCTATCACTCTCTATTGGCCTCGGCCTACTCACAGGGAACCTCTTAGGATCCCTCGCCTTTGACCCATCTTCCTCTACTACTCTCTTCACTGCCTCAGCCTATGACACCTTCTGTACTACTCTGACCCTGGTAACCTCGACCTCTCACCGGACACTTCCTCCCCCTCCCTCCTCCCTCTCTGTGGATGACTTCGTCAACCATTTTGAAAAGAAGGTTGACGACATCCGATCCTCATTTATTACCGCTGGTCCAGCTCACACTGCCCTACCCTATGCTTTGACTTCTTTCTCCCCTCTCTCTCCAGATGAAATCTTGCGACTTGTGATGGCCGGCCGCCCAACAACCTGCCCGCTTGACCCTATCCCCTCCTCTCTTCTCCAGACCATTTCCGGAGACCTTCTCCCTTACCTCACCTCGCTCATCAACTCATCCTTGACCGCTGGCTATGTCCCTTCGAGAGTTGCACCCCTCCTCAAAAAACCTACACTCGATCCCTCCAATGTCAACAACTACAGACCAGTATCCCTTCTTTCTTTTCTCTCCAAAACTCTTGAGCATGCCGTCTCTAGCCAACTCTCCTGCTAACTCTCTCAGAATGACCTTCTTGATCCTAACCAGTCAGGTTTCAAGACTGGTCATTCAACTGAGACTGCTCTTCTCTGTGTCACGGAGGCTCTCTGCACTGCCAAAGCTAACTCTCTCTCCTCTGCTCTTATCCTTCTAGACCTATCTGCTGCCTTTGATACTGTGAACCATCAGATCCTCCTCTCCACCCTCTCCCAAGTTCGGCATCTCCGGCGCTGCTCACTCTTGGATTGCATCCTACCTGACAGGTCGCTCCTACCAGGTGGTGTGGCGAGAATCTGTCTCCGCACCACGTGCTCTCACCACTGGTGTCCCCCAGGGCTCAGTTCTAGGCCCTCTCCTATTCTCTCTATACACCAAGTCACTTGGCTCTGTCATATCCTCACATGGTCTCTCCTATCATTGCTACGCAGACAACACACAATTCATTTTCTCCTTTCCCCCTTCTGATAACCAGGTGGCGAATCGCATCTCTGCATGTCTGGCAGACATATCAGTGTGGATGTCGGATCACCACCTCAAGCTGAACCTCGGCAAGACGGAGCTGCTCTTCCTCCTGGGGAAGGACTGCCCGCTCCATGATCGCGCCATCACGGTTGACAACTCCATTGTGTCCTCCTCCCAGAGTGCAAAGAACCTTGGCGTGACCCTGGACAACACCCTGTCGTTCTCTGCTAACATCAAAGCGGTGACCCGATCCTGCAGGTTCATGCTCTACAACATTCGCAGAGTACGACCCTACCTTACACAGAAAGCGGCACAGGTCCTAATCCAGGCACTTGTCATCTCCCGTCTGGATTACTGCAACTCGCTGTTGGCTGGGCTCCCTGCCTATGCCATTAAACCCCTGCAACTTATCCAGAACGCTGCAGCCTGTCTGGTGTTCAACCTTCCCAAGTTCTCTCACGTCTCCCCGCTCCTCCGCACACTCCACTGGCTTCCAGTTGAAGCTTGCATCTACTACAAAACCATGGTGCTTGCCTACTGAGCTGTGAGGGGAACGGCACCTCCTTACCTTCAGGCTCTGATCCTACACCCAAACGAGGGCACTACGTTCATCCACCTCTGGTCTGCTAGCCCCCCTACCTCTACGGAAGCACAGTTCCCGCTCAGCCCAGTCAAAGCTATTCGCTGCTCTGGCACCCCAATGGTGGAACAAGCTCCCCCATGACGCCAGGACAGCGGAGTCACTGACCACCTTCCGGAGACACTTGAAACCCTACCTCTTTAAGGAATACCTGGAATAGTATAATAGTAATCCTTATACCCCCCCTTTACTACCACTGTCTTTTGTATAAACTAACACCTGACTTATTTCACCTGCTAGCACTGACTTGTTTAAAGAAATGTACTTATTGTGATCGAGATGTAGTTGTCCTTGATTGCACTGACTTTGCTCACAGCTGCTTGTTTGAAGAAGTGTACTTACTGTGATCAAGATGTGGTTCCCCCCTACTCAGCTCCTTCCCTCCAAATGACTTAAATGTAAATGGAAAATCTCCACCAACATGGGTACCCCTAAAGTTAACACACTGCTTTTCCCACTGATACTACACATTCCTTTGTCTCATGCCCTCCTGAACACTTCTCACATCTAGGAATCTCCCTCCTACACAATGCTGCAACATGACCATAAGCTTGACACCTAAAACACTGTAAACATCCTAACTTGACTTTGTTGGGTAAAGACTCTGCAGAAAGTCACAGGTCTTGCCCAAGGCGTGGGGTGCTGAGCGCCCGCTCCCTCTTGGCGGAAGACACAACTATAATCACGAGTCCACTTCGAGTTACTTTCACCGATTCAACAGTCCCCAACCTCTTCTCCACCCAACCTGACACCACATATGGATCTGCCAGAAGGAAAGGATCCATTCTCTCCAAAACTCTCACTCCCACTGAGCCAGAATCATCTTTGTCATCATCGGGGCGAGGTTCAAACTCGCACATGCCACTGCACCTGCCCCTGCAGCTCCTCCCTCTACACTCAGCTTCCCTCACCACACCGCTTCCCTCTACTCAGCTCCTTCCCTCTACACTCAGCTTCCCTCACCACACCGCTTCCCTCTACTCAGCTCCTTCCCTCTACACTCAGCTTCCCTCACCACACGGCTTCCCTCTACTCAGCTCCTTCCCTCTACACTCAGCTTCCCTCACCACACCGCTTCCCTCTACTCAGCTCCTTCCCTCTACCCTCAGCTTCCCTCACCACACCGCTTCCCTCTACTCAGCTCCTTCCCTCTACACTCAGCTTCCCTCACCACACCACTTCCCTCTACTCAGCTCCTTCCCTCTACACTCAGCTTCCCTCACCACACCGCTTCCCTCTACTCAGCTCCTTCCCTTCTTCCTTGCTGTCCATTTCCACAAACCTCCACGCTCTTTCCACTCCTTCATCCGCTGTAGTAGCAAACTGTTCAAATGGTTCTTGTATCTTGAATTTGCCGCCATGTCTCGTCGACTCATAAAGCTCTACCAGCCGCCATTATCTGCTGCCAACCGCCATTACCCAAGGTGCAGCTGCTTAAACCTATCCAATCATTTCATATCTACAAGTACCTAGAGGTATGAGGAGCTGAAGGTTGATTATGCTCCTGCTCCAGTACCTACCTCCAGTACCATCCATGCTGGAATGTGATGAAGTGAAGTAAATACTGTCAAAGCAGTATGATTTCCATATTGTCTGGTTATTTATGATAAAGTGATGTACCAGCTACCCTCATATACTCTGAAATTGACAGTGCATTTAGTCAGGGCTATATAATAGGCTTACATTTCATAAAATAGGTCAACATTGGTGTGTTTATTATACATCTTCATACACATTTACTGTTCAGATAAATATGGATTTTAAGTTCAACATACACAAAAATAATTGTTCTACAAATTCAAAAAGTGTGCCAGATATGTAACAACCAAGACTGCTACCGGAATACTATATTATTGTCAGCTCTATCCATTGACATTTTTCCCTAGCAAAACATAATTGCAAAATAAACTTTACGATCTGCCTCTGCATGTTGTCTTTCAACCATATAGAGATGGAGGAAACTGGTCCCTTTTACTGTACACTGCATATACAAAATGTGGTCCTCTGTAGCTCAATTGGTAGAGCATGGCGCTTGTAACGCCAGGGTAGTGGGTTCGATCCCCAGGACAACCCATACGTAAAAATGTATGCACACATGACTGTAAGTCGCTTTGGATAAAAGCATCTGCTAAATGGTATATTATTATTATTAAAATGCAATCATGAGCAGTAGAGCACACACATACCCATCAGTGGGAACAGAAACACGCTGATATGTACACATTAGGGATTTCAAAAGAGAAAACAAAGAAAGTTATAAAAGAAGCGACAAGTTATGGTGTGTGGTGTGCAGGTTATGGGGAGAGAGGGAGATAGAGGTTATTACAGCAATGGTTGCCCCCTCTGCACAAGAGTCCACAGTCCACGTGGGTATGGTGGTAGTGTCAGCCAACACCTGGGCACAGGGGCAGTGCACAGGATAGCTGAAACTGCTGGTAGATGGATTCAACTTTTGATCGAAAGAAGTGCAGAAACTTATTGCAGAGGTTCACCTTCAGAGCTTGCTCCAGAGCTCTTGCGTCGCCGTTCACTGATCCAGTCCCCAGGGTTGACGTTCATCTGCAGCATCTTCATCACCCACTTGTCCCTCCTGGCCCCGTCGATGAACTCATCCAGAGACAACTCCCCTGAAGAAACACACAGAGTTAGCATTACTCACTAACTACTTGTCTCGTTTTGTATGCTTTGTACAAAATAATAAAATGCAGCACGACAGGATCTTTATAAACTTAGCTCTTTATTAGCTAGCTATAACTGGCATGTTCATGTGTCTCTGGCCATGATCATCTTGAAGATGACCTCCCCACCTGGATGGTCTTAACCAATCATAGCGCAGTATGATAC